TACTGAGAGAGTTCAGCTGGTGTCACCACATTATTACAAATAACTTCATTTCTGGACATTTATGGTTTGATTTCTTTGTATGTATGGATCACTTGGGTTGTTATCGACATCTAGTGAAAATTTCATGTCATTAGCACCTCTAGTAATATATTTATTGAGAAAAATGTTGACGTGTTCAATACTTATTTTACCCGCTGTATGTATTTTATTAAACATGCATATTATCTGATAAACCAACTCAAAAACATATTTTTTACATATCAATGTAATCAAAACTGCTACATGCATGTACTGTACTATTTAAAAAAATGTTTTGTAGTTTTTTTCTGTCTAAAGATAATGTTTTATTTGATGTGTTTCCACACAGTCTAAAACAAGTTTCTTTGGGACAGCGACTGGGTGGACAAAGCTGACTTGCTTGACTATCAAAACAAATTTCTGTCAATCAAACCCGACAGGGGATTTGTCACATCATCTCACTGCTGTCCATCAACACTGTCACAAGCATGCACTGTGGCTCATTGGATCAATGTGTCCACACAGAGGAAACTTTCAGTTCAGAAACAACCACCAGAGCATGGCAGGCCACATCATATAGAAAAAGCTCCTAGGGTGATAAAGGCACTTATAACCCTACATATATTTATAGATACCATTAAAAACAAAACTGCTATAAAGAAAATAGCTGACTGCAGAGCAAAAAAAAGCCCGAAGGACCCAATTTCCTCCTGAAGCACCTGATGGACACTCTGACAGGCAGATTGCTTTCCAGCACCAATTTTTGGAGCATGTGAAAAATGGTCCACACAGCCACTATGTGGTCTGAGATGAGTCATAAATCTTGTTTTATCTCCTTCGTAGTGGTAGCAGAAAGGGATGAGTTGCTTTTTTTCCCCATCTCATTCACATGTCTATCTGTCTGTTATCGGTGCCCTTGAGCAAAGATTACTGATGCCCTGTCTTTGATATATGACACATCACACAGAGCAGCTTTTCATCCTGTGAATTAACCCAGAGAGGGAGGGGGGGGGGCGGGGGACGCAAACCTGACTGGCATCAGCAACTAGAGGGAGAGGGGGGCTCTCTCACTGCTCCTTTGTACACCCCCTTTTTTCTTTACTCATACAATCCTTCCTACCAGAGCTATGGGTTTTCTTTCTTTTTTTTTATTTCCTGATACCAAGTAGACGGGGAGCAGTAAGCAACGTGGTTGCCCAAGTTTGGTGGCAAATTGTTTGTCTGACCTCTGCACATCGCTGCATTTTATAATCTAGTGTTTGTCACCCCTGTCTAATCCTCGAAACATATAGCCCCTGTCAGTTCCCGCTCCCTTTATCAGAAGGAAAAAAGGTAAGAAGAGGATGACTGTAAGTAACTGCACAGGAGGAAATCTTCTACAGATAAAAAAGGGATTTCAAGTGAGTGATGAGACCAGAGATTCCCATAATGTTGCCTCAAGAGCAGAAAAAGGCAGATAAAAGGTGAATATTACAGAAACAAATGGTAGCATATAATGTGTTAACAGCTTGTGTATGTCACAGAGGAAGAAAACGACTCCAATTGGCTTTCAGGAGAATATTACTGCCGTGTTAGTGTCCCCGGTGAGGAATATTTTATTATTTAGTAACTGGGAAGCAGCAGTGAGTGCAGCCTAATGTATCATCGTCTAATACATTTGAATAATGGTGTTTTAAATGCGAAAGACAAATAGCAATGACCACTTTGTGCAATCTAAAACAGAATGTAAAATAACACATTAGGTCTGTCTGCCACAGTGGAAATTAAGAGACTCTACATTACAGAGTAATAACCATCTCTCTCCAGACTCCAGACTTCATTAACCCAAAGCTAATCTCCCACTCAAACTCCCTGATCTTTACATGCCACAGGGAAAAAAAAGTGTTCAGTAAATACTGGTTGTTTTCTGTTTGGATAAGGGCCATAGAGCAGAACACTATCTACATTTTTTTTCCTCTCCTTTTTCACCCATGTAATCCTAAGAGGTCATAAATAAAATATTACGCCACAAGGAAAGTGTTGTGATCCATTATCATAATGGCAACGTTCGTGATCTATTTCATTAACATGCAGTCTTTAACCCAAACAAATGTGTTCCTCACCCTGGCTTTTCATACCCATTTACGAGATACAAATGGGCTCATGTGTCTTAACCAAAAGAGCTGCACGCGTGATGCATCACAGCCCGAATGAAGGCACCCTTGCCATATTGAGTTCTGTCTTTCGTGAACATTAAGTTTAAATTATGTCCCTCATTCCTGGGTAACACGGTGCCATTGGCAAGCCTTTAAGATGCTAATAATGTTTAAATGATGCCAACTTTAACTTGTATATTAAAAAAAATACTTCATATAGGCATGTTTTGGTTTACGAGTAATAAAGACAAGGGCAAATAAAAATAAAGAAAGAAAGAAAGACACTGGAAGTTCTGTCAATTTAAAGAATTCTGGCCATGTACTGACAATATGACATGTGTAGCACCACTTAAAAATGATGTGGTCAGCAGCATCCATATGTGTGAATGACTGTAACATAAAGCCAGAGGGCACAGAGGCCTACTTTCTGCCTCCTGTAAGTGTTAATATAACCTTTTCATCTGCTCACCCAACGGCTCTCTTGAATCAATTCCCCCTCAGTGTCCCTCAGCGTCTGTACAACTGGCACCTTCACAACTTGTTCCATTTGTTATATTGAGCTCCATCTGGCCTCGGTCATTTGGCTTTTTAATTTAGTTGTCTCCCGCTCTCTAATTTGTCTCACATTTACAAATGGCAGCGGCTGCCCGTTCCAA